CGTCCTGCTCCGAGGAAAATTGCGCTCTCTGAGAATCAAGCTAATTCGTGCGCATTGCTCTCATATTTTAAATCAGCAACGCAAGAATATTATAAATTCGTTGAAGTATCCCCGTCACCACGAAAAATGTTGTCTTTGTTGCCCAGTGTTATCGATGGTTTTGCGCAGTAGATTTTTGCTATAAATTTATTGATTTCCTCCTTATTTCTTTTCTTTTGCTAACCATTTCTGTTCAAATTCGTGCACTTGGTATTTTTCTCATGTTTATCAACTTTGCTTTATCGTACCACATTTGTAATGTTACGTAACGTTTACTGCTTAACCACTCGTAGATTTACTATTCTGCTAGTCGCTTCACTTGTTCGCAAGTCTACTGTATTTTATATGAACGACGATTCTGGAACCATGCCCTGGCGCCCAGACTGCGCGATACTTTTGTGGATCGGCCTGCTCTCTCTGACTCAGCAGTATTAACACTCCACATTCGTGACATTTCTCTGGGGCCGCGTTCCTGGCACCTGCCCATATTCATGACGCTGTTCGATACTAGGTGTGACCTTCACATTTGGCCGTGCCCTGTCTGGAATTTTTCAACACACACCTCAATTGATATTTTTAATTGAAAACGTTCTTATTTTTATTCATCACTCATCTGCGATGTTGATCTACTCGCGCGATATTTTCTAATCGCTACGTATTTCTACAGAAAAGCCATAATATAAACAATAAATTGAAAAGAATTTATATGAGTTGTAACAATTCGGTATGAATACATCGTACTGCATGCTTGATTGCCTTTCAAAAAAACGTCTGAGATCTGAGCCTGCCTGTATTGCTTAGCGCCAACGTCCGTCCGCTCGGTAGGAAATCAGATGAAATATCATGTACTGACTCTTCCAAAGCATTTTTCGCAGCTAGATATCATTATGTTGCAAGTAATCTGGCTCTATGAACAAGTGAATAATATCTGTCGTATCGGTTGGAGAATTCATTTGTCATCGGGTTGACCGCCCATGTATGTATCGAAACCGAGGCGGTGGAGTCTTTGTTTACACTAATCCATCCTTGTGTATTGTAACAAAACATATCTTTTGTTTCTCTTCACAATTTATTAACTGCTTAGTCCTACAATGCAAGCCGAGGTGTTTGAGTGGTTATCGCTCACCGTTGTTGTCTAACAGCTGTATATCTCCCACCTATCCCGAAGTTCAAGCAGAGGATTTTTACGACTAATTTACAGCAGCCGTCAATAGAATACATCGACCGTTTTTTAATATATTTTCGTCGGAGTTTTCAACTGATTTGCCACCACTTTTCTCACCACTCTGTGATTACGGAACATCGTAAATCTATCCACTAGATTAGACGCAACCCTGGACATGGTGTTCCTTAATAGTACAAAGTGATTCTCCCTATGTAATCGGTCTCCGATTGACAGTTTCGTCCATGCAACAAACAAAATTTGTCCCGGCATCTGTAGCAAAACAAACCATCAGCATATCACTCGCTGCAGTGATCGAAGGTTCAACTAAACCCAATACTCTACACAAGATATCGATCGAGTTCGTGGAATGGTTGGATGTGACGTATCCAAGTATTTCGACAAGTTGACTGGTTATCTGAATTTCTGTTTTGACATCTGCTCTCCTTGGGAAACTCTACATCCGCACTGACAGGTTCTCCTCCCCCCACTTGAAGTTACTGCACCGATTTAAGGAGAAAGCGATTAAGATGGTACATCAATAAGGTCTGCTCATGTTCGTATCAAGGGAGAGTTACGCTGACTTAAACAGGTGTATATCCCGTTTATTATTGGGAACGGCAGCTGTCGCGAAGTCTGGAGTTGCTCTACGTGCGCTTTGTTTCAATGCGACTGTAGAGGAATTGAACAAGGGGTTCTGTGATGGCAATACTACTATAGCCTCTGAGGCTTCCTGTTCCCAAGTTCTTGGGTCCGTGAACTCATTGCCTCCCATCGACATTGCAATTGTGAATAATTTACTAAACCGCCTGATTTTCGCTAAAGCTGGCGTTCCGGGTAACTTATCTTTCATCGTACTCAGAGAATGTGCTGACTTTTTGGCAACGCCTCTTGCGTTTGTATACACAATATGTATGCAGCAACACAAAATCGCTGACTGCTGGAGAAGTATCAGTATCACACCAGTGCCGAAAAAAGCCTCCAATAAATATCGGCCTATCGTTTGCAAGTCTGTTTTCAAGAAAATAATTCTTGAAATGATGCTGTCCCAAACTTGCTCCATTGACCCCCTTCAATGTGCATATCAAGGTCTACTCTAGATGCTGTGGCCTGCCTCGTACATTCTGTACTGTTTTCACTTGACAACAGAAATAAATCAACTCGTATTTACTTCCTTGATTATGGCAATGCATTCGGCTGTGTAAGTTGCGAATTGCTGCCGAACGATCTACTCATTCAAGGAATGCATCCCTCCATTGTCCATTTGCTTCGTGCTGATTTTGCCCGACGCAATCAGAATGCCCGACTCAGTGACAGATGTCCCTCCCTACTAATCACCAGCTCCGGTGTTCTTCAGGGAGCAGTTCTGTCTCCTTTTCTCTTTTCTGCCTACGTCAGTTCCATAACGGCCTCCACAGAAGCGACTTTACTAAAATATGTTGATGACATTGACCTGGGCATCAATCATCAAACTGTAGATTCCTCACTCAGGTCGCAAGATTATTTGAACGACCTCACTATTTTGTCCGAAGCTCGTCATGTGCCTCTTAATGCATCAAAGTACCATGACATTTTATTTTTTGCTACACAAAGGAGCAAGGTACTTGCAGCTCCTTACACAATGTCGCAAGCAGTTTATTGATGGAGATGGATTACACTCTGCTACATTAGTGAAGTATCTTGGTGTGGTACTGAACTTTGATTTATCTTGAACTCCACATGTAAATGAAACTTTCACGAAAGTCCGAAGGTTGTCTTTCTACGCCTCTCGTCTTAGAGTCTCTCGTGACTTGATTTCTCGATTTGCCTGTGCCTGTGTTCTTCCCCAGTGGACGTAATGCTCCCTTGTGACTTTCCCCGGTCTTCTGGGTAGGCATTTTAAGTTACTTGTCAGGTCTTTACGGCACTTATCCCGATGTAGCGGCGTTCCGATGCCTACTTTTGTCAGCATACCTTTCTACACACACGAATTATTGTAAGAAACTGGCATCTAAGCTACTCGCTGATACTAGTCATCCGCTTCACAATGCTTTGTCTGAATGGATGACAACTTTGTCTACTAGGTGGAAGTACAAGTTGATTTGTGCTCATACACAGATCTATCGCTAGTCGGTTGTCCTTTCCGCACTTTCCGCAAGACCACAACTCTGTCGTTCTAGACCTAACCAGCTCATTCGCAGTATCTTAGCGTTTCTGTCCATTCTTTTTCAAGCGCATTTATGGTGCTTTTCTGTACTTGTTTCTATTCTGATACACTTCTTAGGTCGTGGGTGTTGTGACTGAATATTCACCCGCCAAATGTGTATAAAGCAGTTTATGACTTGAATTGATACTAAGATGATCCATTCATTCGCAAACAAACTGCCTTCAACTAGATGCTTGGCTGTGGTCACAGTTTTTGTGTGTCTGCTAGCTGTACTCCTAATTGGATACTTTCTGGAGTGAGACTTTTCCTGGTTATACACTGACAAGCAGATTTTATCCCGAAACTTTACTTGCTTATTTAATCACAGTAATCGTCAAGGCTATGTGGCACGTACCATGATTGCAAATACTTTTACATGACTACTGCTTGTGGGAACCCGTGCTGCTCTCGTCTACCTGCTTATTATGCATCAGAACTTATTGACTCCGGGGTACGAGATTCAGTTGGTTGTGATTCACTGAGTGCGATCACTGTGTCTGAAACTTACTTTCCAAACTTTCCCATTATTGTCTTCACCATCCTGGTAGTGTGAATTCTTACAAATGCATCAGGCTTTTGTTTCTTGTCAGTCTGGTATATTTGATTCATGTAGGTATTTTTGAACACAGCCTCTCCACTTTCATTCTTGAATGCATTAATTGGAGGTTAGAAACGCCCCAGTCATTGTACCGCAATACCTCCAAATTAGATGGTCTTACGATGGAAAATAACAAAGCAGAAATATTATGCTTTGTTATACCTTAGCACGAAATCGTAGTTTGAGGGAAGTGCTCTTGGCCATGTCGACAAGAACCCCCCACCGAACGTGTTCATCTTCTTTTGGACCCCAATTCGATTACGCAAGACTTTGTGTCCTCATTCTTTCGGTTCTTTTTCCATGTTCACCGTATGTTCTTGTTTTCTTCTCTCCTGTTTTTCATCATAATGTTTTATTTGTCGTACTACATGAGACGCGTTGTGCGGGACACACGCGCACATCCATGAATGATAATGAAGGATCGCACTGCCGTGGACTGATCTGACTTCACTCGTTCAATTTATTGCGTCTCTGAACTTTTCTCTAGGATCCTTTCAGTGGGCGAAAGGATTGCACGCCTGTCTTGTAATCCGGATGTCGCCGGTTCCAATTCGCGATCTCATAGTATACTCAGTCCACACACACATAACCATGAGTGTTCGCTTGCTAGCAAAGCGTCGATATGATGTGCCGGTGCACCGCCGACGCCTTTTTCTACTATCCTACAGACACAGTGATTGTATACGCCTTTCACGCATCGTACTTCTTTCGCTCTGGAGCTCAAATCAGTAAAAACTTAAACTTATCAGGGGACGAAGTTTGATGCCAAAATTATTTGACCAATGCCCAATTAGGTACACATATGTACATCAACAGTACGTGGCATGTGTATGCTGGTCGATCAACTTGCGATCCTCTGTTACCATCACATCATGATGCAGTGTTACATTTCCGATTGATGTTGTAGCACTTTCGGTTGTTTCTTTGCATCTGTGGGATTGCACCTAGCGTCCTGATAAATTCCATACGTTTGCTCTGTCCGTGTCGTTGACTGTTATTTTCCTCTCTTCTGCTAGATTTCCCTCCCAGATGGATGTTATGGTCGTATCGCCCCAAGAAGTGGATTGGCATTGAAGCATGGCATCGACGTTGGCGCCGGTGTTATCGATCAGGATTATCGGGGCAATGTGGGTATATTACTGTTCAATTTTGGTGATGTTGACTTTTTGGTAAGTGTTCATTAGCTACTACTGCTGGTTCCTTAAGTTCGAGTGTTTTTGTTCGTCAGCCTCTTTGAATCCAACGTTTATTGCCATTTTCACAAACTATCTATTCATGTAGGAAATACTTCATGACGATGTTTTTGTAAACGTAAACAGTCCACGCACTATCGTGCCCTAGCTGTTGCTTTTAAGATTTGTTTGTTACAATGCGGTAGGTGTCCGTCCAGCTAGTAAATGTGTGGCTGCAAACATGCACGGAGACTTTCTTGGAATTGGTGACACGCTGTATGTTTATGATATTTGCGTTCTGATACTGACTGCACGCATCGACATCGCGAGCACCATCAACCGTAGATGAGTTATGGTTACTTCACGCTTAATCGAGCATGAGGACGACTTTGTACCTTGATGTTGCTTGCTCTGATCTGCCGAAATAAGCCAGACGTCGTTTTGCAAATGCCGTAAGTTCCATCCGTATTGGACAATTCGGCGAAAACGAGCCTCAATGTCCTTCTCATTGGAATTAGATTTGACGTCTTTTCTCTTAAAACTATGTCGTGTTAGACAACGGGTTATGAGTCTTAAGGACAGTTCTGTTACCGGGCACGAACGACACTGGTTATGTTTGGTGGCGGAAAGATAGTGACCATAATATATATATATATATATATATATATATATATATATATATATATATATATATATATATATGGTTGGCGGCATCCGGTTTCGGATTTGCCTGTCACTGTGGCAAGCCACAGGACGCCTGCGCCTACAGAGGGACCATGGATGGCTTGCGCTGCACCACCCACAGCTCCACCACACACCCATATCCAGTGTAAACCCGAAGGAATAAGACCGGGAGGCATGCGGATGGGAGCCACGTTTCATCAACGGAGCCAGCCCACACTCCTTCACAGGCAAACACAGGCACACTGTATTTGGGAATCAAACGCACACAAGGCGGTGGCTGGACCGTAGTCCGCTCCACACTGACTGCATGGAACCACTCTTCGAGCCTAACACGGCCACAACGACCGTGCACCCCGCCCCCTCCAGCAACGACCAACTGTCTCCTGGAGCCAGTATGGACGAGGTAGTGGGTAATAGACAGGTAGGCACCTTGTCAACATGCACATCAAGCGCAGCCACACCGGGGATATCAAACAACGGCCAATCACTTGAGAGAGAGAGAGAGAGAAAGAAAAAGAGAAAAACTCGATTAATGCATAAGGAAACGGTGATATAAACCTTAAGTAAATAGCATATGTAATAAGTTGATTACAAACAAATCCTATCTAAGTGCACTAGGTCAGAAAGTATAGTTCACGGAATGCCACGAACGCAAACATGTTATGGAAATCGAATACAACTGGCTTAGGCGATGTGTGCAAGTTAATGAAATAGAGTACACGGAGATATTTATATGAGAAAGAAAAGCATTAAGGTAAAAGCTGTAAACCCACCACCTGAAATAAAGAGACTTAGCATGCAAGCATGCGGTTAGTAAATCGAATTCAGCGTGCCTATATATATATATATATATATATATATATATATATATATATATATATAAAAGACCGGGAGGCATGTGGATGGGAGCCACGTTTCATCAACGGAGCTGGCCCACACTCCTTCACAGGCAAACACAAGAACGCAGTATTTGAGAATCAAGCGCACACCAGGCGGCGGCTGGACCGTAGTCCGCTCCACACTGAATGCATGGAACCACTCTTCGAGTCTAGCACGAGCACAAGAACCAGGCACCCTGTCCCCTCCAGCAACGACCAGCTGTCTCCTAGAGCGAGTATGGATGAGGTAGTGGGTAATAGGTAGGCACCTTGTCAACATGCACATCAAGCGCAGCCACACCGGGGATATCAGGCAACAGCCAATCACTTGAGAGAAAGATAACAAAGAAATCAAATCGATTAATGCATAAGGAAACGTGAGCATGTGAAATAAGTTGTCAACATAGGATCCGAGATAAGTTCAGGAGGTCAGAAAGTATATTTTACGGAAATGCCACAAACACGAAAATGTTATCGAAATTAACTACAGTTGGCTTAAGCAAGGTGTGTAAGTTTATAAAAGAGAGTACAGGTAGACATTTATATGAGGAAGAAAAGCATTAGGACAAAATTGCTAACCAACCACCTGAAATAAAGAGAGTTTGCAAGCAAGCAAGCGGTTAGTAAATCAAATGCAGCGTACCTCCAAGCGCTGCACTGGTTCTGCCTACGTTCTCTGCAGAACCCATCGTCGCTTCGGTAGTGATCCCGAGTGGCTTCGCTCATGGCTCACTAAGCCTGCCTGACTCAGGCACTCGCGACCGCATGTGGTACAGCACCATGCGCTTGATGTCGATGGAGTACGACTTATCGTTGCTTGCTGCTTCCGCACTTGCCGCTTCTTCTCTGCATGTATAAGGTCTTTCTCCTGCACTTCGGCAACTGCCATCGTGATCAGATCGTGCCATTCACGCTGATCAACCGCCTTCGATTCCCATTACCTGCAATCAAGATTAGAACGTGAGAAGCTCACTTTGATCATGTTCTGATAACGTAACTTTGGTTTCCCCACGTGCCGCTTCCCAATACTCAGCTGACCATATACTAGTTGTTTCGGTATCCTCGTCGAATCCATACGGCTCACAAGACCGAGCCACCTCAGTTGTGTCAGCAAAAGTAGCAGTCCACTGCATACATCCCACTTTGTTGCAACATTTCCGTGACAGTGACTCTGTCGCCCCAACCGATGCTCAAAATGCGTCGCAGACACTGCTGATGGAACCGCTCGAGATATCGCAGATCTCGCCGGTACATCGTCCACGTTTCACTGCCGTATAGAAGAACGGATAGCACAATGGATTTGTACACCACCAGCTTCGTGCCAATGGTAAGCTGATGGTTGTTCCACACTCGGTACTCAAGCTTCCCGAATTCCGCCACTGCCTTCGACACGCGGATGCGCAGCTCACTGCGTATCTGCTGATCAATCGACATCACACTCCCAGGGTAGCAAAAGCGGGAGGTGGTTTCCATTACTTCAGCACCAATGCTGATTCGCGGCAATATTGAGGATTTCACCTCCGGTGAAGGCTGAAAGAGACAGACAGTTTTGCTTGTGTTGATGGTGAGCCCGAATTTGGCCGCTGTCGAAGCCAGAGCACTATTCATATGCTGCAACTCATCCGCGCTGTGTGAAAACAACGCACAGTCGTCAGCAAACAGCAACATACGGATAGTTGTCTCACAGACTAGAGTTCTCGCACCGGAACGACGGATGTTCAGCAACCCACCATCAGTACAGTGCTCTACACGAACACCTTAAGCACAAGCCGCATCAAAAGCACAAGACATCATGGTATGAAGATGTAAATTAAACAGGGAATGCGCTGACACTGCCTTGCTTCACACCAGTGACAACTACAAAGTCATCCGAGATCTCTCCACTCAGCTGCACCCTCGCCAGCATACCACTGTGCAGACATTCAATTAAACTTATATATATATATATATATATATATATATATATATATATATATATGCAGCGAGAGCCTATGGTGCGCTGAGCCTGGTGGTGGCTGGATACTGACAGATGATCTACCCACTGCTGCCACTGTTGTGCCATTGGCTCATCTCCTTGACGCCCCCTCGTGGCGACCGCTGGAGCGATTGATTGGCCTACACTGAACGGGCTGCAACAACAGGAGATGATGATGTGTCTTGCCGACACACCGACAGTGCTCGATATGCAGAGAGCACTTACCTGCTTCACGGCGGATTCGCCGGGTCCGACGGGTACCACCAAAACTGTTGAGATACGGCGAACCCACGTTGGAGAATGCACTGCACAAGTTGGTGCGACACTTGTGGTTTGAAAAGGAAGTACCGGCTGAGTTGAAGTATGCCCTTGTGCTACCACTGTACAACGGCAAAGGGAGCAGGCAGGGTTGTACGGATTATCGTGGCATCAACTTGCTGAGTTGTGTGGGCAAGGGGATTTCCCGAATCCCACTTAACCGCCTCGTCATTCAGGTTGTGGAACCTAACGTGGCCGTAGAGCAGTGTGCATTCCGTTCGGGTCGCAGCACTATGGATATGGTGTTTGCGGTTCATCAATTACAGACGTGCAGAGAATGACACCAGCCGTTGTACTCGCTTTTTGTTGATTTCACCAAGACATTTGATACGGTGAATCGCGAGGCATTGTTGCTGGTGTTGGGTAAGTTTGGTTGTCCGAGTAGGTGTAATTTTACTTGAATGTTTGCACAGTGGTATTTGGTCGAGGGTGCAGCTAAGTGGTCATCATCATCATACATCATTATAACTGTCGGCCGGTGGCCGAGTGGTCTGCACGTTTGATTTGCAACCATAAGCTCACCGGTTCGAATCCGCGTAGGGGTGGGCGTACTCGCGGTATACTCAGCCCGCGCACAACTGTTGGTGGGGGCGCGGCAGCGAAGCGCCGTTACGGCGTACAGCTGACACATTATTATTTATTATTATTTATACATGTTAGCTGCAGGTGGAAAAACCTCAGCTGTTGTACTGCAAAATAAAGGACAAGAAAAATACAGTGGCACGCCAGCTGACTCCCCAGCAACGGATGGACATCATTCCGGAGAGCTAACAGCTGGCTATCGTGCCTCAAAAAGTTATGTTCTGCCTAACGAATGCGATCGTGATTGGAGGGCGAGGCTAAGCAGGGGGGGGGGATGGACAAAGGTACTCACAACACAAACGCCACTGGGCCGGCTCCTAGCCATATCAGCAAGTGTGTCCAAACAAACGTGTTCATCGTCCTTAGGACCCCCCAGCCAGGCAGTCGGGATGCACAAACCGACGTCAACTTCGACGTGAGGGTTTTCATCTCTCTCGACCAAGTCATCGCTTAGCCTCTCCTCCTCCTCTTACAACCGCACCCCCGTCGCGCAAACTGCACTTCGCGGAAGTCGGTATGTTGGCATGCGCAACACATGGCCCAGACATCGGAGCCTGGTG